GTCTGTACATTGGGTGTCCTGCCCCGCCGTGCACCCCTCTGTCTGTACATTGGGTGTCCTATCCCGCCGTGCACCCCTCTGTCTGTACATTGGGTGTCCTATCCCACCGTGCATCCCTGTCTGTACATTGAGTGTCCTATCCCGCCGTGCACCACTCTGTCTGTAGGTTGGGTGACCTATCCCGCCGTGCACCCCTCTGTCTGTATATTGGGTGTCCTATCCCACCATGCACTCTGTCTGTACATTGGGTGACCTATCCCGCCATGCACCCCTGTCTGTACATTGGGTGTCCTATCCCACCGTGCACCCCTCTGTCTGTACATTGGGTGTCCTATCCCGCCGTGCACCCCTCTGTCGGTACATTGGGTGTCCTATCCCGCCGTGCACCCCTCTGTCGGTACATTGGGTGTCCTATCCCGCCGTGCACCCCTCTGTCGGTACATTGGGTGTCCTATCCCGCCGTGCACCCCTCTGTCGGTACATTGGGTGTCCTATCCCGCCGTGCACCCCTCTGTCGGTACATTGGGTGTCCTATCCCGCCGTGCACCCCTCTGTCGGTACATTGGGTGTCCTATCCCGCCGTGCACCCCTCTGTCGGTACATTGGGTGTCCTATCCCGCCGTGCACCCCTCTGTCGGTACATTGGGTGTCCTATCCCGCCGTGCACCCCTCTGTCGGTACATTGGGTGTCCTATCCCGCCGTGCACCCCTCTGTCGGTACATTGGGTGTCCTATCCCGCCGTGCACCCCTCTGTCGGTACATTGGGTGTCCTATCCCGCCGTGCACCCCTCTGTCGGTACATTGGGTGTCCTATCCCGCCGTGCACCCCTCTGTCGGTACATTGGGTGTCCTATCCCGCCGTGCACCCCTCTGTCGGTACATTGGGTGTCCTATCCCGCCGTGCACCCCTCTGTCGGTACATTGGGTGTCCTATCCCGCCGTGCACCCCTCTGTCGGTACATTGGGTGTCCTATCCCGCCGTGCACCCCTCTGTCGGTACATTGGGTGTCCTATCCCGCCGTGCACCCCTCTGTCGGTACATTGGGTGTCCTATCCCGCCGTGCACCCCTCTGTCGGTACATTGGGTGTCCTATCCCGCCGTGCACCCCTCTGTCGGTACATTGGGTGTCCTATCCCGCCGTGCACCCCTCTGTCGGTACATTGGGTGTCCTATCCCGCCGTGCACCCCTCTGTCGGTACATTGGGTGTCCTATCCCGCCGTGCACCCCTCTGTCGGTACATTGGGTGTCCTATCCCGCCGTGCACCCCTCTGTCGGTACATTGGGTGTCCTATCCCGCCGTGCACCCCTCTGTCGGTACATTGGGTGTCCTATCCCGCCGTGCACCCCTCTGTCGGTACATTGGGTGTCCTATCCCGCCGTGCACCCCTCTGTCGGTACATTGGGTGTCCTATCCCGCCGTGCACCCCTCTGTCGGTACATTGGGTGTCCTATCCCGCCGTGCACCCCTCTGTCGGTACATTGGGTGTCCTATCCCGCCGTGCACCCCTCTGTCGGTACATTGGGTGTCCTATCCCGCCGTGCACCCCTCTGTCGGTACATTGGGTGTCCTATCCCGCCGTGCACCCCTCTGTCGGTACATTGGGTGTCCTATCCCGCCGTGCACCCCTCTGTCGGTACATTGGGTGTCCTATCCCGCCGTGCACCCCTCTGTCGGTACATTGGGTGTCCTATCCCGCCGTGCACCCCTCTGTCGGTACATTGGGTGTCCTATCCCGCCGTGCACCCCTCTGTCGGTACATTGGGTGTCCTATCCCGCCGTGCACCCCTCTGTCGGTACATTGGGTGTCCTATCCCGCCGTGCACCCCTCTGTCGGTACATTGGGTGTCCTATCCCGCCGTGCACCCCTCTGTCGGTACATTGGGTGTCCTATCCCGCCGTGCACCCCTCTGTCGGTACATTGGGTGTCCTATCCCGCCGTGCACCCCTCTGTCGGTACATTGGGTGTCCTATCCCGCCGTGCACCCCTCTGTCGGTACATTGGGTGTCCTATCCCGCCGTGCACCCCTCTGTCGGTACATTGGGTGTCCTATCCCGCCGTGCACCCCTCTGTCGGTACATTGGGTGTCCTATCCCGCCGTGCACCCCTCTGTCGGTACATTGGGTGTCCTATCCCGCCGTGCACCCCTCTGTCGGTACATTGGGTGTCCTATCCCGCCGTGCACCCCTCTGTCGGTACATTGGGTGTCCTATCCCGCCGTGCACCCCTCTGTCGGTACATTGGGTGTCCTATCCCGCCGTGCACCCCTCTGTCGGTACATTGGGTGTCCTATCCCGCCGTGCACCCCTCTGTCGGTACATTGGGTGTCCTATCCCGCCGTGCACCCCTCTGTCGGTACATTGGGTGTCCTATCCCGCCGTGCACCCCTCTGTCGGTACATTGGGTGTCCTATCCCGCCGTGCACCCCTCTGTCGGTACATTGGGTGTCCTATCCCGCCGTGCACCCCTCTGTCGGTACATTGGGTGTCCTATCCCGCCGTGCACCCCTCTGTCGGTACATTGGGTGTCCTATCCCGCCGTGCACCCCTCTGTCGGTACATTGGGTGTCCTATCCCGCCGTGCACCCCTCTGTCGGTACATTGGGTGTCCTATCCCACCGTGCATCCCTGTCTGTACATTGAGTGTCCTATCCCGCCGTGCACCACTCTGTCTGTAGGTTGGGTGACCTATCCCGCCGTGCACCCCTCTGTCTGTATATTGGGTGTCCTATCCCACCATGCACTCTGTCTGTACATTGGGTGACCTATCCCGCCATGCACCCCTGTCTGTACATTGGGTGTCCTATCCCACCGTGCACCCCTCTGTCTGTACATTGGGTGTCCTATCCCACCGTGCATCCCTGTCTGTAGATTGGGTGACCTATCCCGCCACGCACCCGTCTGTACATTGGGTGACCTATCCCGCCATGCACCCCTCTGTCTGTACATTGGGTGTCCTATCCCGCCGTGCACCCCTCTGTCTGTACCTTGGGTGTCCTATCCTGCCATGCACCCCTCTGTCTGTACATTGGGTGTCCTATCCCTCCATGCACCCCACTGTCTGTACATTGGGTGACCTATCCCGCCGTGCACCCCTCTGTCTGTACGTTGGGTGTTCTATCCCGCCATGCACCCCTCTGTCTGTACATTGGGTGTCCTATCCCGCTGTGCACCCCTCTGTCGGTACATTGAGTGTTCTATCCCGCCGTGAAACCCTCTGTCTGTACATTGGGTGTCCTATCCCACCGTGCACCCCTCTGTCTGTATGCACCCCTCTGTCTGTACATTGGGTATCCTATCCCACCGTGCACCCCTCTGTCTGTATGCACCCCTCTGTCTGTACATTGGGTATCCTATCCCACCGTGCACCCCTCTGTCTGTATGCACCCCTCTGTCTGTACATTGGGTATCCTATCCCACCGTGCACCCCTCTGTCTGTATGCACCCCTCTGTCTGTACATTGGGTATCCTATCCCACCGTGCACCCCTCTGTCTGTATGCACCCCTCTGTCTGTACATTGGGTATCCTATCCCACCGTGCACCCCTCTGTCTGTATGCACCCCTCTGTCTGTACATTGGGTATCCTATCCCACCGTGCACCCCTCTGTCTGTACATTGGGTGTCCTACCACACCGTGCATCCCTGTCTGTAGATTGGGTGACCTATCCCGCCATGCACCCCTCTGTCTGTACACTGGGTGTCCTATCCCTCTGTCTGTACGTTAGGTGACCTATCCTGCCGTGCACCCCTCTGTCTGTACATTGGGTGTTCAATCACGCTGTGCACCCCTCTGTCTGTACATTGGGTGTCCTATCCCACTGTCTGTACATTGGGTGTCCTATCTCACCATGCACCCCTCTGTCTGTACATTGGGTGTTCTATCACGCTGTGCACCCGTCTGTACATTGGGTGTCCTATCCCACTGTCTGTACATTGGGTGTCTTATCACACCCTGCACCCCTCTGTCTGTACATTGGGTGTTCTATCCCGCTGTGCACCCCTTTGTCTGTACATTGGGTGTCCTATGACACTGTGCACCCCTCTGTCCAGGTGTTCCTGCCTTGTATATGGTTTACTGCTGTCACAACCAGTTGAGTGTGTCCTCCTTACATCCTTTATGTTGTGTAGAATAGACTAAGAGGTCAGTCTGAATAGTTTCGTAAAAGAAAGAATGCTCAAACCAGTCATGGTACCCACAGGGTCCTCCTTAGATTCTCTCCCAAATGGTCCTCAGTGACCGTGCCATCGCCACTCTCTGCATCATTACATTGAAAGTGCAGGGTGCCGCATCCTTAGGACAAGGCGTGGGCGGGTCCACGACACCCTGCACCTACGGATTGACTCTGGGTGTCATCCAACCCAGATGACTGAGGACAGCTTGTGCAGAATAAGAAGTACTTCGGCGGACATCTCATGATTGAAGATGAGTATTGCAGCCAGCATGGACTTTATATTTCACATTAGCAGGAGTTCCGCTAAAATTGGCCCCGTCGGCCACTAAGACGAGTATTGGTGTACACATTGGTTGCTATAGTAACGCAGACCGCCACCTATGTACTGTGAGGTGACAAGCTGTTTTTAACAAAGGAAAAGGCGGGACAACACAGAAATGGCGGCTCACACTCGTCAATAAACACTTCTTCAGCTGTGTACAGGTTCATAAACTGATTTTTTTTACTGACTTCACTTACATATCTCTCTTTTCTTCTTTCTGTACCTTGGCACAGAGCCCTTTGATCACAGGAGGATACTTTACAGGGGCCCCTCTTCGGCCATCACCACAGGGGCCCCTCCTACACCATCACCTCAGGGCCTCCTCACTGCGTCTTTCTTGCTCTTTCTTCCCGCCGAGTTACGGTCACGTGACGCAACTCGGTGCGCGCGCCGCCTCCTTCTTTCTTCATCGCCATAGCAGCGAAGGGGGGCGTAGCAGGTTGGAAGGGAGGAGGCGTGTCCCGGTAGCCGAGCTCCTATTGGTCAGCGCGAAGACTAACGCGCCTGTGCAGTGTGTGCCTGTGGCTGAATGCGGCCCGTGAACAGGTGAGAGACAGAGTGGTGTGTGCGCGCGGGTACCACCTGGTACCGGGGTTCCGTTATATACGGCTGACGCGTCAGGTCGGAACAAGGTGGTATGGTACTTCCGGTAACGTGACCGGCTGCCTTAAATAACATGCTGAACATATTAACGCCCGTTTAGTGTCTGTAGAGATGTGTGGAGACGGGTACATGAGTCGGGAAGGGGGGGCGATGACGATAGTAGTCCTTCTGTGACCAGAAATCCTGCCAGTTGTCACCTGACATATGCCAACGCACACTATCATGGGGGGAGGGGAGCCAAGTAGCGATCACATGTTCTGCAGGGCCAATGTGAGACCACTTCCTTCACATTGGGAAACTCCTCAGCCCATACAGAGCCCATGTTGGGTGTCCTGTCCCGCCGTGCACCCCTCTGTCTGTACGTTGGGTGTCCTATCCCGCCGTGCACCCCTCTGTCTGTACGTTGGGTTTCCTATCCCGCCGTGCACCCCTCTGTCTGTACATTGGGTGTCATATCCTGCCGTGCACCCCTCTGTCTGTACATTGGGTGTCCTATCACCCCTGTTTCTGGGATGAGCAGTGATGGGATCCCTAAGACTCTGATACTAAAGTGCTGGTGGCAGAGTAGAATCTGCTGTGCAGGAAGGGTTTTGGGGCACAATGAACAGAACACCGGGGGATAAATATATGCCCAAGTGCCACCCTATATGCCCAAGTGCCACATCCGGGGCAGATAGAGCAACTGGCCTACATTGCTATGATCAGTGCCCTGACTGGCCCAGCTCCCTCGTGCCCTGACGGGCAGACTAAAGAGGACCAGGACTGCTGGAGCAGTGCCCATAGAAGGCAAGCTGATGACAAACTACTAGTTGCCATTTGTGCCTGTAGGCTCCCTGTAGCTGATCTCTTCCTTATTACTGACTTGCCTTGTTCTGCCTCTGTGTCTCTGGGTGCAGGTGGCCATTAGTGTTGACGCTACCCCACTGATAATCTGATGACTGGTGGGGGAAGCACAGATCCACAGAATGGGTGAAGCCGAAGCAGTGAGATGCTTGCATTGCAGGTCCTCGGGTGCAGCTTCCCCTCCAGCAAGGAGAACAGCGAGCAGCACAGCAGTGACATCACCAAATCTGACTGGCAGTGAGAGGCAGCAGAGCCTTAGATGATCTCACACTGCAGATACACAGTTATGAAGCTACAGAGCAGGAGTGTCTATGCACAGGACGTGCACTGATAGCAGGAGTACCTAGGCCCAGGACGTGCACTGATAGCAGGAGTACCTAGGCCCAGGACGTGCACTGATAGCAGGAGTACCTAGGCCCAGGACGTGCAATGATAGCAGGAGTACCTAGGCCCAGGACGTGCACTGATAGCAGGAGTACCTAGGCCCAGGACGTGCACTGATAGCAGGAGTACCTAGGCCCAGGACGTGCACTGATAGCAGGAGTACCTAGGCCCAGGACGTGCACTGATAGCAGGAGTACCTAGGCCCAGGACGTGCACTGATAGCAGGAGTACCTAGGCCCAGGACGTGCACTGATAGCAGGAGTACCTAGGCCCAGGACGTGCACTGATAGCAGGAGTACCTAGGCCCAGGACGTGCACTGATAGCAGGAGTACCTAGGCCCAGGACGTGCACTGATAGCAGGAGTACCTAGGCCCAGGACGTGCACTGATAGCAGGAGTACCTAGGCCCAGGACGTGCACTGATAGCAGGAGTACCTAGGCCCAGGACGTGCACTGATAACCCTCTGTCTGTACATTGGGTGTCATATCCCGCCGTGCACCCCTCTGTCTGTACATTGGGTGTCATATCCCGCCGTGCACCCCTCTGTCTGTACATTGGGTGTCATATCCTGCCGTGCACCCCTCTGTCTGTACATTGGGTGTCATATCCTGCCGTGCACCCCTCTGTCTGTACATTGGGTGTCATATCCTGCCGTGCACCCCTCTGTCTGTACATTGGGTGTCCTATCACCCCTGTTTCTGGGATGAGCAGTGATGGGATCCCTAAGACTCTGATACTAAAGTGCTGGTGGCAGAGTAGAATCTGCTGTGCAGGAAGGGTTTTGGGGCACAATGAACAGAACACCGGGGGATAAATATATGCCCAAGTGCCACCCTATATGCCCAAGTGCCACATCCGGGGCAGATAGAGCAACTGGCCTACATTGCTATGATCAGTGCCCTGACTGGCCCAGCTCCCTCGTGCCCTGACGGGCAGACTAAAGAGGACCAGGACTGCTGGAGCAGTGCCCATAGAAGGCAAGCTGATGACAAACTACTAGTTGCCATTTGTGCCTGTAGGCTCCCTGTAGCTGATCTCTTCCTTATTACTGACTTGCCTTGTTCTGCCTCTGTGTCTCTGGGTGCAGGTGGCCATTAGTGTTGACGCTACCCCACTGATAATCTGATGACTGGTGGGGGAAGCACAGATCCACAGAATGGGTGAAGCCGAAGCAGTGAGATGCTTGCATTGCAGGTCCTCGGGTGCAGCTTCCCCTCCAGCAAGGAGAACAGCGAGCAGCACAGCAGTGACATCACCAAATCTGACTGGCAGTGAGAGGCAGCAGAGCCTTAGATGATCTCACACTGCAGATACACAGTTATGAAGCTACAGAGCAGGAGTGTCTATGCACAGGACGTGCACTGATAGCAGGAGTACCTAGGCCCAGGACGTGCACTGATAGCAGGAGTACCTAGGCCCAGGACGTGCACTGATAGCAGGAGTACCTAGGCCCAGGACGTGCACTGATATCAGGAGTGCCTAGAGTAGTGTTCAGGAGGAATTCTAGACAAAGGATATATCTTTCAGGGTACGGCTTGGACACGATGAACATTTCTAGATGTTCTTTTTTTTTAACAAAGAATTTATTGAGTTTTTATCATAGCAACGAAGACAAAAACAATACAACAGTACAGGAAGGGCAATGCCTAAATTCATAGGTGTATACAATCAAGATGCGTAAGGCAGGGCACAAATCGGACAACAATGCAACAGGTATCATGTACAGCAGATGAAGTACAGAGGTGGTATGAGCAGTGCATGGAAATATTACAACACCGATCGGTTGGAATGCCCAGAAACTAAAAAGAAAAACAAAAAGTCTTACACAGGGAGAGATGTCAAAGTCTCAGTGATACAGAGAGGATGAACAATGTTTTTTGTGTTTTTTATTTAATAAGTAAAAATTAGAGCTTTGTTGGAGAGCGTCTCTACCAATGAGGGAATGCGGGTCTGGTAATCATCATATGATATGTGTCAAGCATCTGGTGTCTGTCAACCTGCAGGCCCAACACGAGGTGAAAGTATGGCGTCTACAGTTAGCCTTGGCGAACGGAAATTCAAAATGTGTGAATGAGTGTTTAGAATCTGTATGACCGTGTTTAAGGAGGGGGGTTCTGATTGTTTCCACGCTCTCGCTAATGCGAGACGGGCCGCTATGAGGACATGAGACACAACAGTCCTGGAAGCTGTTGGCCACTCTTCCAACCCTACCCCTAACAAGGCATTTCGAGATGTTCTCTTTAAGATATCAGATAGTCAGTTTCACTTGAACGCCAAGTGTTGTGTTGCACGGTGTGAATGGAACCTCGCAGCATTCTGGTGATCTATATATATTGTATGTATTGATTATTTGTTTCCGTTAAAACCATTCTTTCCCTTCCCAGGAAATGGCGGAGCAGACATCCCATTCTGAGCGCGTTCCTCACCGTCGCCGGCCAGCCCCCCGGCCCCCTCGTGGTGCCAATGACATTTACGTCAACACAAAGACCGACTTCCGCGCCCAGCTGGCCCGATGCCGCCGTCTCCTGGGCACTGGGGGACAGAAGGAACTGAGGGTTCACGGATTGGGCCTCGCCATCGGCCGGGCTATCAACCTAGCGCTGCAACTTCAGCTGTCGGCACCCAAGGCCCTTCTGATCTCCGCCAGTACATCCACAGTGGAGCTGACTGACGATTTGGAGCCTGAGGGTGGAGAGGACGCAGAGCCAGGCACCCGGAGCAGGAACAACTCGGCCATTCACATCCGCGTGTACCGAGCGCAGGAAGAGTGAAAGAAGCTCCAGGGTTTGGGATTTTCCATCTGGCGCTGATGGCGTGTGCTGTGCTGGCCAGGTGGATGGCGGCCGGACATTTCATTGTGGTTGAACTTGGCTCAGGCCTGTCATGTACTGTGTACAGAAGAGAGGATATTAAAGATGGGTGGGGTGCAGTGCTGTGACCCATCACTAGATGGAGCTCCTTCCAGGTGATGGCAAGGACATTTGCACGAAGTTTGCTGCGGCAGTGACCGTGGATCCAGTTCAGATTTGTCATTATTTATTAATAAATTACATATTTGAACAACAAAAGACCCGTAAACTGAGTGATTTATGTGCCTATTATGAAACCTCAGCAGGCCCAACAAACACCTCAATATGAAAATATATGAAAGGGATTGACTCATTGTGTGATTGATTGCTGCTATATGCTAAACTCTATTGTTTCCTATGTGAAGTGCACTGATATCAGGAGCGTGTAGACACGGGAAGTGCTCTGATATTGGGAGTGCCTAGACGCAGGAAGTGTGCTGATATCGGGAGTGCCTAGAGGCAGGAAGTGCTCTGATATCGGGAGTGCCTAGAGGCAGGAAGTGCTCTGATATCGGGAGTGCCTAGATGCAGGAAGTGCTCTGATATCAATGTCTAGACGCAGGAAGTGCTCTATCAGGAGTGCCTAGAGGCAGCAAGTGCTCTGATATCGGGAGTGCCTAGAGGCAGCAAGTGCTCTGATATCGGGAGTGCCTAGAGGCAGCAAGTGCTCTGATATCGGGAGTGCCTAGAGGCAGCAAGTGCTCTGATATCGGGAGTGCCTAGAGGCAGCAAGTGCTCTGATATCGGGAGTGCCTAAACGCAGGAAGTGCTCTGATCTTGAGAAAAGAGGCTGCTGAAGGAGCGCGCCTGATTGGCAACTAATTATGCTGCTGATTTGCTTGTCCTCCGATGTAGTTAAGATCCATCTATACCGTTAGCATTTTGTTTGCTTTGCCTAGAATGGAGGAAAGTTGGAACCCCTGCCGGATTTTACCGCTATCCATTGGAGAGGTTTCCCCTCACTTCCTGTTCTGGGGACAACCTTTATCAGACAGGAAGTGAGGGGGAAATCTGCATTAGGGAAACTGACAACAATAAAAGGCTGACAGAGGGACCTCTCCTCCCCTCTTTTCTCTCTCCCTCCTCTCTTCATACACCGTTCTCCTGCACCTCCCGCCCTCCTAGCATAATATCCACATACCCCATATGAGAATTTCCTCAAAGAGCAAGAAAAGCAAAAGGCCATCAGACCATCCACCACCTTCCACCGAAATCTTTTTGGGCCACAATTGTACACAAACCTCAGTTACACCAAATGTGATTCTTCTCCAAAACACCTCATACTTCCCTTCTTACTGCCCGTGTATTAAATATTAGACATGTGCACTGCCAAAAAATGTGTTTCCTTTTAAATTCGTATTTGTGTTATTTCGTTTTTCGGGATTCGGGTGTGAAAGTCAATTCGGATTCGGACGAAATTCGGTAGCGGTAGTTCGTTCGAACGTTTGTTTCTTATTCGTTTCGTTCATTCGTTCGTTTGCAGCAAAGTGACATTTGAGGGGGAAAAAAAATGTTCTCCTCTAATGTCACTTTGCTCCAACGAACGAATAAGAAACAAAAGGAACGTTCCAACAAACTACCGCTACCGGATTTTGGAAACAGAAATTCGGATTAGTTTGCATTAGTTATACCTGGAATTCGTATAAATCCGAATGTCCGAAAATTCGTCCGAATTTCGATTCGGAACGAATCGCACCTGTCTATTTAATATCACACCAGCACATCTTCTCATCCATCCACCTGGCCTTCACTCACCTGGCCTGCCTCACCATTGCAGTCTCAACTACACCATAAGCAGCTTGATGTCGCTTCGTTTTCTGTTTCTTGCATCTAATTATCGTTATAGTAATTGTACTAAAATAAAGGATGTGATAATGATGTATAGATACACTTTTACTGCATATTAAACTCACTATGAGAATTACCCCTGCCCCCCCCCCAAAAAAAAAGACCTACATAGCAAAGTATGAGGCGACACACCAAACACCGGAGTCTGAAGGTTCTGCGTATACTTTATAGAAAGATATAAAGTACAATTGATATACCTGACATAATGCAAAAGGTAATTATTAGACCTAGTATTACAGACTGGTAGGCTACAATACATTTTTGTTCACAGGTTTAGAAATACTTGAAAGTTGAACTCCATTGAGTTGCCTTTTGATATAAAAAAAAAAAAAAAGATTTCTTTCTCATCCAATGAGGGACACAGGAAATCTCTGGCCATTGGGTTATGCTGCCACCTACCGGAGGACTGGACACGGGCAAACAAACTGTAGGCCAGCCCAGGATACCTCCTTGTATACCCAGCATACCTCAGTCTTGTTTTTTTTTTTTTTGCTGGTGCCTAAGGGGTGGATGTCCTTTTCAGCTCTGCCTATTTTTTGCCATTGCACCTTTTATTTTCTTCAACATTTTACTCTTCCTTACATCGCTGCTGGAGTGTTTGTCTCTTGTATTGCAACTATCTGGCTTGGCCATCCTCATACTTGGCTTTTGGAGTGCCACATCCGGACCCCACAGGACTGGACATTGCAGGGATAACCTGGGAGTGACCTTGGGGCACTGTGTTCCGTATTTAGCACTCTCCGTTCTGGTAAAAGTTGGCCGTGAAGCACCTTCCAGGTCCACAGCTGTTGGTATTGCCTCAGTGCTTGCCCTGTCTCTTAAGGCCGGTTGGGCTGAGCACTAGAAGATACCTCCTCTACTTAGGTCACTCAGAGCCTTTAAAACTCTCTGTTGCCTGCAGGTTTCTAATGTGGAAAGGGTTGACGCTGTGGCACTGGGCACGTATGTAATATGCTGGGTGGACTGTCGAGTATTCTATGCATGTTATCACTTACCTGATTGGCCGCCAAGATGACAAGAGGGCCACTCTTACATCTCTGGTACAGGCACCCCTGGAGTAGAGCAGATGGAGTGCCATGGGTCCAAGGAGTCTTTATCTTTTAAGAAACTTCCCTTTCATTTTCCTACTCCCATGCCCTCCTTGTCGAAGACCCCTGACAACGTTTGTTAACCTTTGGGTACATTTGGACAGCTTGCATCTCAGAGGCTTGGATGGGTTTCTCACCTTCAACCCCACCTGATTCAACGCACTGATTAACAGAACTATACTGAGCCTTCTCGAGTCTCCTAGGCTGAAGTGGTATTGCCCCAGTTCCCGCGGAAGAACAATTTCAAAGCTTTTTCTCCAACCTGTTAGCTGTTCCTAAACCCCCAAAAAAGGAAATCCGCTCCATCTTGTCTTCATTTAAGCTCAGAAATTCTGCATGGAATCCATATGGTCCATCATCCCCTCCCTATATTGAGGAGGTATCCCACAATGGCACCTTCATTGGGGAGGTATCCCACAATGTCACCCCCATTGTGGGATACTTGGACAACCTCCTGGGAACAGTTGGCGTGGGCTCTATCAGACAACGTGATTTTGACTGTCCAGACATTACAGTAGTTCGGATGGATCCCAAATCTTCAGAAATTCTCACTGGAGCCGACTATCATTTGAAATATCTGGTCCTAGTCCTGGACTAGACAGACTTTTTCAACCTATAGCACCTGGACTCTACACCCGGGGGTGTTCCAGGACCTGTGTCGCAGGTGGGGGAGGTTAGATGTAGACCTCCAGCTTCATCAACAAACTAGTTGGTTTGCTTCCAGGTACAGGGATCCTCTAACAGAAGCAGTAGATGCCGTGGTGGTTTCATGGGATCAGTGCACACTGTTCTAGGCCTTTTTCCACGTCTACTTTGCAGGATCGAAATTGAGGTCATTCCAGTATTCCTCGTTGCTGGAGGTGGGAGACGGACCTGGTGACGCTCCTGGTGGATACTCTGTGGGCTCATCCAAACTGTCATGATATTTTGTTGAAGCCCTGGTTTTGAGAGATAGGGGCATCTCTAAATGTGATGCTAAATGCTAGGATGGTTACTTCCTATAAGGTCTATCTGCAGATGTGGAGGGCATACTGAGTGTCGCGGCTGTTGACCTATGAATTTCTCCATTGGACGCATTGTCTCCTTCCTAGAGTTGGGCCTGGGCCAGCGTTTGGCTCTCAGCACTATTGAAGGCCAAGTTTCTGCCTTTTATATTCTGTTTGTGAGACCCTTTATTCTATGTACAGGGAGTCTCCCTCGTAGCTCTTTCTGTTCATTCTCCTGTGACTCCGTGTGATCTGAATTTGGTTGTCTCTTCACTTCAGAATGTTGCAGGGAAAACACATTAAATATGTTTCACTCCCTGATCTTTCCAACAAAGTGTTATTCTTGTATCAATCACCTCTCTGAGGCGAGTGTCTGAACTGGTGGTCTTATCCTGGAAGGAAACCTTTCCGTTTTGCATAAGGACAAGATAGTATTGAGGTCCGGGATTTCCTTCTTGCCCAGGGTAGTTATTGCCTTTGACCTCAAGCAGGACATGATTCTTTGGTCCCTCTGACTGGCTCCAGTTCACGAAAAGGAAATTGACCTCTACTGTCTGGATGTGGCTCGGACTATGAGAGTCTATCTCTCAGCCACTTCTTTCAGGAAGACTTATTCCCTTCTTGTAATGCCAAATGCTAAATCTTTCTTGGGGTCCATTGAGGGACACAGGTCCTACCCCCTCCGTTCTGCTGTGCTAGAAAACTGAGGCATGCTGATAGTAGGAGTGGGTATCCTGGGATGGCCTAGAGTTTGGTGGTGGGGGGGGGGGGTTGCCAATGTCCAATTGTCCTGTAGACAGCAGTATACCTCAAAGATGAAAGACTTCCTGTGTCCCTCAGTGGACTCCAAGAAAAAGTACAGTGAGTACAAATGTCCTATATCTATACAGTTGTCACTGGCAAGGGAAATCTTCCAATAGCGGAAACTTGTTCTGGTGAAGCTGTCTGGGGAGCTTACCTCTCACTTCCTGTTGTGTTTGTGGGACAGGAAGTGAGGGGGGAGGTCACACTAATGGTGCAAATAC